ATGGCTGGCTGGTGCCGTCATTGGCTATGATGGTTATGGAGACTATATATATATTGTACAAGAAAAGGGGTAATAGTGGTGTGAGAAATTAGAAATCTTGAATGAGACGCTGTTTACTTTCTCCAAATCAAGAAACGGTATCGCGTTCGCAGAGAGCAAGGCTTTTGCCAGTCGCCGACTTGCTTCTCCTCTGTTTTTTTTTCCCCTCGTCTCTTTAACATAACGACAGAATTTTCAAAATATTATTTTGATGCTAAGTTATTATTATTTAAAAAAAAAAACAGTTATAAGAAACGGTGTTTGACACTGTTCATGTTCTAGTTCCTAAAAACAGAGAAAAATTAGTATCGTGAGTTTTATCCTTACTCAACTTATCCTAGTTTTAAGTGTTAAGAATAGAAAGGACACCTAAACTAATCTGAATCCAAGGTTTGTTCCAATAGTTTTTCCATTGTGTTACCTATCCTCCTTTTCGTTAAGATTTTCTAATGCATCAATACATTTTTTTCTTATATGTTTGCTTAAAAGTTAATGATTACCCATGGTATTATATTTGGTAAAATATCAAGCTTAAATTATATAAATTTAACTTATTTTTAAGTTTAATATTATTAAATTTAACTATACGTGGAGTTCAAGTATTTATAGATCTAATAAAGTATTAAACCTAAATTTTTTGGGTTCAATTATATGTTGAGCCTAAAAACATGTGAGTTTAGCAAGATAACAAATTTAATATTATTAGGTTCAACTATGTTTTGGAGTCCAATATAATCTGAGTCTAACATTAATACCTTTAAGTTCAGCTACATACTGAGCCCAAGTACATGTAAGTCTAACGATATATTAAATCAAATATTTTTAAATTTTGCTATGCACTGAACCAAAGTGCGTATAAGTCTAAAAAAATGTTAGACCCAACATCTTTAAGCTCAGCTACACTTTGAGTCTAAGTGCATATGGGTCTAATAAGGTGTCAGTATCAAACATTCTTCAGTTATACCGCGCACTTAGCTCAAATACTTGTGGGTCTAGAAATGTGCCAGACCTAACATTCCTAGGTTCAGCTATGTGCGAGGCCTAAGTGCTTGTGAGTATAGTAAGAAGCCAAATTCAAATATCTTGAATTCAGCTATACGTTGAGCTCAAATATGCATGGATTTGACAAGGTGCCACACTTATGACCCTTGAGTTTAGAGTCATTTCAAGTTAAATACATAAAAAGTTGATAATCCTTTTAGGTTCCATGTTGGGTCACATAAATTTATTTGTTTATTCTCATGTATTTTAACATAAAATATTAAAAGTCAAGAACAATAATCTTTCTATGTCTATAAGTATATAAAAATCTCCTAAGAGCCTACCATAATTCCATTAATATTAATTTTGTGTAAGAGATATTTATCCCTCATTAATATTGTGCAAAAGATATATATCCCTTAGTAATGCTATCAAGAGGAAATAATGCTTTAACCCCTTCATTTATGTACTATGACAAAGTTCAGAGGCTATATATATTCTTTGAACTACTAAGGTAAATGGTTCACACTTTTTTAATTCTTTATTCATGCTTTTATTTTATAGAGCATTTATCATATATAACTAAGAAAAAAAAATTTATTCTTAAGAATTTAAAGTTTATTTTCTCATTTTTTACAATCCCTTATTAAAAGTCATTGAGTTTATCAATGTAGGGTTTCTAAATCTCATAAAAAAAATTATTTTGAAAGTTCTAGATCTTTTATCACCAATCATCAACTTCTTGAACTCTAAAAAAAAGATCATTAATGTGAATATGTGATCATCTTTTATATAAACACTAAAACAACCCTTATTTATGAGCATAATGGATTCTGGAACTTCATCACTTTCCAATATCAATCCTATAGTGTAATTTATAATTTGTTTTAAAATGCACCTATTATAAACTTCTTTTTTTTAAATTTTCTCTAAAATTTCACATTCAAAACCCTATAAATAGGACAATTGCAATTATTAAAAAGACTAAAGGGACGCAATAAATTAAACATTGTTTATCAAAACTCATCGTACTATGAATTATTACAATATAATGATGATTTTGCCCTAGTATTGGCTAAGAAAGTGCAAATTAAGGGGAAAAATAGTCTTTTCATAAGGTTCATTTGGCATTTATCAAATTAATCAGGGAAGAATCAATCTTCTCATTTATAGTGAAATGACTTAATTACCCTTTAAAGAAAAAAAAATATTTTGCTAGTATCCAAGAGTGTTTTTGTCGTTTAATTTTTTTTTACAACCTGGTTTAATTAGGGGCTATTTAGTGATTTAGCTATTGGAACATTGAGGGATAGCTTTTTATACCTAATTCACCCTCTTTTTTTGTTCACCTAAGTTATCCCTTAAGGGTCTAACAATTGATATCAAAGCTTATGTTCTTGCTATAGGACTTAATCATCTTAGGTTAAAGATCATGATCTTTAATGAACTTAAATTTCCTAGAACAATAATATATGAAGAAAATAACATAGACTTACTTAGCTCAAGCTCCATCAAACAAGATGAAGATATTGATATGAATTTTGATGACTTGATTACCTTATATGAAACCTTGTATAAAAAGAACAAGATGTATAAAAACACTATAAAAACTTGGAAAAGATGCATGGGAATTTGAAAAAAATGATTTGCTTGAAAAATATGATAGATAACACAAGTAAACGAATCATTATATGGTATTGCTAGTAGTTTCTCATCATTAGATGATTTGAAAAATGAAAACGATGCTTTTAAAAAATAATTTGAAGACCTAACTTCAACTTTAGCTAAGTTTATTCAAGGTGAAGATAACTTGAATGTTTTGTTAGGGGACTAAATAAAAGTGGTTTAGATTTCAATAGTGTTGAAAAACAAATATCCAATGAGTATGTTAATCGATCTATCATGTATAGTTGTTTTTCTAGATTTGAATTTTGCAAGAGGAAAGGTCATTTATTATATAAATATAGATTAAGAAAAATAACATTTTTAAAAATATGATGTGGGTATCAAAAGGTATAATGCCTAATATACAAGGACCAAATGTTAAAAGGACACCTAAAAATACTTCCTATAAGAATTCTAAGAATGGAGGAGTAAGGAAAGGGTTCCAACAAAGAAGGAACACAAGTCATGGACAAGCAAGATCTCAATTCCATAATCAACAATTGAGAGACAACTTGAAATGGAGGAATCAATAGCAAAGGCAAGAAAGACCTTACTTTAAAAAAAAACAAAGTCAGAAGAAACCCACATTGGAAGAATGATAATAAAAGAAATACTAGACCCCTATTCATTAACAACAATGTTAGAAGGAACGTGCCATGACAACGTACAATGTCTCAACCCCAAAGATATCAAATGGAAAGTAACCGATATTGAAGGCATATGGGAAGACAACTAAAACCTATAAAAGCAAGGCCTTTCGGAAGGATAAGTCCTATAGTCCAAAATATCAACCAAAGACCAAGAAGAAATGTTTATCAATCTTAACTACACACACATACCATGTTTTTAATGGGTTCGAGCCTTATAAGTTTGTTAAAATACTGATTTGTTACAAATGCACCTATACAAATTCTAATGTAACATTAATCATTAAAAATTAAAACTAAAACCTAATTTATTTGGTGGAAAATAGTTTATATTTTAATTTTATCATTCAATAAAAAAAAAATTATGTCAATTTTGATCATTTTTTTTTTAATTTTTTAGTCCTTTTGTTAAATTAATTTTGCTTTTCAATTTCACTCTTAAATGAAATATAAAATTTAATTTGTATTTTAATTTTGATACTCATTCTTTTAATTAATATTTTTAAAATTATTTTATATAATTGAGATTTTTTTTTAATTTTATCCTTTAATATTTAATTGATTGAGAATTAGACTTTATAGTTTTTCCAGATATAGTATTTCGGGTTTAATGAACTGAGTTATGAGTTTAAAATGTTATCAGGAGTTTTTTCTTTTAAGAAAAGTTTTTATGTATTTTTTTATCAAGTTATTCTAATCTTATGATTTGCATCATGAGTTTGGATAAATATCTTTAGTTGGCTCAATTATGTTGACTCGGGTTAACAAGAGCTAATTTTTTTAATATCTTTTTTATCCCATTTTATTATTTTGTATTTAATGGACTTCAAATTAAGATACATTGTTTGTCCCATTTTTGAACAATATTTCTTTTCCAATTTATTCTAATCACCTTTCTTTTTAAATTTGATTTATCTAATATTATTTTTTATTTTATTTTTTATCTAATTAAAATAAAACTAGCTTATTCGAGTAATTTCAATCCATAACTTGAATCACGTAATTTTTTTTTAAAACATGATTATGGCAACTAAGCATTACTTTTTGTGCGAAAAATATTGTGTTCTATCAACCAAGGCTACTTTATAAACTATACGACAATTAAAATTATTAATTATTTTAAGAATTATTTAATTAGGACTAACTACGACAACACAAATATTTAAGTCGGAATAGGTGTTTTATCCTGATTTGCAATTGAAAGAAGTTGGCATGCGCAAGGAGTTAATTATGTCCATCCATAACTTTGACTATTCAACTCTACTCGGTTTTTTGGGCCAAAAAATCACATTTAAGGAAATTAAAACAAAATTTGCAATTGAAAGAAGCTGGCATGGGTAAGGAGTTAATTAT